AAGGCCTGCCACCTCCCTGGCGCGACCCCCGGCCTCGCGCGTCTCACGAAAAAGAAGGAATAGGGGATGCGGCTGACTCCGCGGGCAACTTTTCGTTGTCTCCTTATTTCCTCGCGCCCATGGCCAAGGTTCTTTGGCCTCACCCTCAGAAGCCGTCAAGTAGAACAAGCTGGATAGTTGTGGGCCCTGGGTTTTCTTGGGCACCCGACGGTATTAATATAGTTTCCCTCCCAAGCCTTGGCCAGGAGGCTGGGCTGGGAAGGGTAACATTGGCAAGCCCTTGTCTCCCCTAGACCAAAGCCAGCTGCCCTCACTCAAAGCTGCAGGCTTGGCATCGTCCTCCTCTGAGGTCAATTTGTGTTTATCTGTTTAGAGAACCTGTAGGAAAGATACTTTGGTGACTTGACAACTTGTGGTGCGAACTAATGGTTTAGAAAGATTCCTTAGGTTGGAATCTAGGATCCTACAGCCACAGTGAGGCTACCCGGGACAGCTCAGAGAAAGGACACTCCTCTGCTGCCAATGTGCAGGACATAGTTTTTTTTTTTTTTTTTTTCGTTTTGTTTTCCTTTTTGGCTCAGCTCAGAGAGCATTACAGCAGTATCCTTTCCCGCCTCCAGACTCTTCCCCTCCCCCTTCTTCTTTCTGGTGCAGGCAATTAGGGTGAAGAAATCAGTGCCAGGCTTCTGCCTCTTAAGAGAAAGGAGCTGTTTCTGGAATTAAGTCCTGACACCTGTGTCTGTCCTAGATGGCAAGGAGGTGCAGGGTCAAAACCCTGGAGAGGGAGAGGCCAGACTGATGAGGAGTGGGGCAGGGGTGGGGAGAACACTCCCTAAAAGAACGTTTTGGGGGACTCCTCTTGTCATGACTTCCCGCCTTATTCTTCAGCCTCCAGCTTCGCGCAGGTCATTAACACGCGGGTTATTAACACAGTTTTTCTCCATTTTAATCCCCTGAGACCGAGACCCGAAGCTGGAATTAGAAGAGCAACGCTGACAAGCCATTCATTAATTTGCTTTTATTTTCGGGAAATAATGTAGATAAAGAGGAAGAGGAGACGGACTGCCTTACATCTCAACAAGTAATTTGTGATCTTCACATCGAACAAATCAAATTTACAAATTACTTTCCCACCTACTGGACCAAGAGGCCTAAACCAAAACTGGTAGATACACAGGTGCTCTCCGCAGATTTCGGAGAGTGAAGGCTCACTAAAAACTCACTCAACAGACAGGGGTGTTTTAAAGGGCGAGACACCCACAGAGGAACTGGACCTGGGACTCTGTTTTCTTTCACAATGTTGTAATTTCACTTCTTTTGCTTGTTTCTACGATGAAACTTTGATTGTGTGCTTAGAGCTGGGGCTCAGTCGTGCGCCCAGCCCAGCCTAGCCCCCACCCCATACCCCGACTTAGCTGTTTCCTTCACTTCTGATCCTCCAGCGCCCAGCTTCCTGGAACCAAGCGGGTTTCTTTAATAAATACACAAAAGGAGATGTGAAGAGGGGCAGGACAGCTTGTAACAACTGAAAAATAAGAACCGCCATCGTTGAGAAAGAGGAACAGGAAGAAAGGGGAAATATTTTTTGCTTTTGTTATATATATATGTGTATATATATATGCGATGTATATATTTTAAAGTTCTGTTTTCTGGACGCTAAAACAAGAGAGATGCTCAGTTCAGCCAACAGCAACTAAAAAGTTTAAGTGGTCCCTGGAACGGACCGACTATGTACAGCATTCCCGCCTAGGCGGAAGCTTGAATCAGTCCAGCGCAGGGCAGGGCAGGGCAGGAGGCTGGGGTACTCTCCTCCAGAAGGCCTGCCTCAGTGCTCACCACTGGGGAGGTGGACATACTGGAAGCTCTGGCCTGCAGATGGGGAGCTGGATCAAGGGCAGCTGAGGGGGTACAGTCTGCTAGAAGAGACAGTGGTGGGTTTGACTTGGAGGAGTGTGTGTGTGTGTGTGTGTGTGTGTGTGTGTGTGTGTGTACTCCAAACGGTAGATAATATGCCAGCTAGTGACTTCAGTGTCCAGAAAGAATAAATAAAACTGTTGAGCTCCAAACAGAGAGGGTCAGAGCGAAGAGCCTCAGAAGGCTCCGGGTGCATGAAAGCTGTCCAGAAAGACTTGAATGGGTGACTCACGAGTTGAGAGGGAGAGCACACTGCCATCCCGTGAAGAGACTGAGGGCCAAGCAGAAGCACCGGGCCCCACCTCCAAAGGGGAGAAGGGTCTACCCTCCCCCAAGCAAGTGGCACAAAGATGGGAGCGGCAGTGCAGGCAATGGACATCTTGGGGGCGTGAAAATTCAGTTTTGGAAAAGCCAAGGCAAAGGCGAGCGGTGCAGCAGCAGCAACAGGATGGGGACCACGGAGGGCGCAGGTAGTTGCGTTTCTTCTCCACTTCCTCTCATTCCTGGGCTCACAAGACCTGGAACCGCCACGAGGCTTGGTCCTTATAGTCCAGACAGTCGGGAGAGTTGAAGTTGAGTTTCCAGGCAGAGGAAGCAGCGGCAGCGGCAGGCTCCTTATAATCCAAGCAGTCGGCAGAGTTGAAGGCGAGCCCAGAGCCTCCATAACCTTGGTGATGGTGGTGGTGGTGATGGTGGTGGTGGTGGCCTGAAGATTGGCTCAGTGGGTGGTGTGCGTGCGGGTGGTGGTGGTGATGGCCAGCCATGGAGGAGGGTGCCATGGGGCTAAGCTGGTGCGGGTGGTGATGAGAGTGCATGGGCGCTAAGTAGGAGCTGCAGTCTACACCGCCAAAGTAAGAAGAAGAGGGCGCGGGGTAGCCCTGGCCGTAGCTTCCGCCCTGGCCATAGGACATGGGGTAAGAGGCCGCAGCAGTGGCGGCACCTGCCTCTGCTGAGCGTTGCATACAGGAGGCGTTGCTCGGTGCGCCCAGTGGCTCTGGCACGGACACGGATGGCGGTGCTGAGCCTGGCGAGATGGAGGCCGGGCTCCAGATGGACGAAGCAGTAGGCGTACTCAGAGAGGACGCGGCTGCCACCGGGTTCCCACCCAGGCCCGCGGCCGCAGCAGCCGCGGGATTGGCGGAGGCACTGGACGCTGAGCTAGACGAAGAGGCCGAGCTAGACACGGCAGGCGGCGGGGACTGGCAGGGGCTCTTCCACTGGAGACGACTTCTTCTTGACCGGCCGGCTTTTCGTTCCGTTCCCGCTCTGCTGCTGCTGGCGGCACTTGGCACGGCGGTTCTTGAACCAAACCTGCAGTGAGCAGGGTGAAGGAGAAGGGATCAGGGGGCTGGCTAGTGGAGCTCACAGCTCCTCCGCCCCTCGGACTCACACCCCGCCCAGGATCTCAGGGACCTCTCAATCCCAGCCTCTACCCCTCCCAGTCTCTGGCCCTGCCAGACCCTGTCCCCTCCCCCGCACGTGCTAGGTCCCCAGCTCTGGCTCCCTCCCCCATCCTTCTGCGCAAAGCCCCCAGTCAGCCTCCACCGCAGGAGGGATGCGCACCTCCCCAAGCCCAGCGCAACTCTGCCCAAGGGCGGAACGTTTGCGTCTGTCCAGCCAGAAGTTCAGCCATCTCTAAGCTGTTGCAGTTGGCTGCTTCCCCGCAGCCCCGTTTTAGTTTGGAGGCCCTGTTTTCCAAGAACAGAGCTCAGGAAACAGCGGAGAGTACAGAACATCGGAGAGTAGGGCAGTCACCAAGTCTGGGGCCCGAGGGGTTTCACCGAGTCGGCTCCTGGAGACTGGAGTTGGGCAGGGCAAATATTTGGGTGGGAACAGAAGCAAGGCTGGAGGCTGAACTGAACGGAAGCAGTACTCCAGTACTGGGATTCTCGTGAAGGAAGCCTGGGTGAGGTTTCCTTGGGCCTTTTGGCTCCAGGTGGGGTACCAAATGGAACGATAAGTCATAAATTCGCACTCCTTTTGGAGGGGCCCGGACACGGGGCATTGCATTCCCAGTCCCTTCTCGAGCCTTCAGGGAAAGAAGTTGAGACAAAAGACTCTCGAGGAAGAGTTTTAGACTAACTCAGAACTCCTATTTTCTGAACTGTTTCATTTTAGAAACAGTAAACCCAGCATCTGGATTTTGCACTCGGCCTCCACTCGGCTGGAGAAAACTCCAAACCATACCGACTCCACCCTCAGAGCACACTCCAAGGCAGATTGCGCTAGGCTGTGACCAAGTTCCATCTTGCACTTTTAGAATCCCCAGGACTCAAGGGAAGGGTACGAAAGACAAGAGCGGAAGGAGAGCTAAGGCTCAGTAGGAAAACGCCAAATTCTGTTGTAGCCAGGAAGCAGGGGCCATTATCTAACCTTCTGGGAAAGTTACACCCGGGGGACACGGCTGGCCTTTCCAAAATCCAAAAACCGACTTTCAACAATGAAAGCGCCCTGGGGACAAGGGCTAGAGAGATGTTGGGCTCTAAGCCATTACTTTTTAAAATGTTACCCCCCTTTAGCTGACTGAAGCCCAGCACTAGGGGGAGTTAGAGAGGGGCTGTCCAGTCAGTGAATGGGCCCCAACACCAGATGGCCCAGGTCGGATCTTCCCCGACCGCTCCTAGCGCCCCTACCCTAATCCTAGAGTCCCAAAGACCACGCACCTGGACTCTGGACTCTGGCAGGTTGATCTTGAGCGCCACCTCCTCTCGCATGAAGATGTCCGGGTAGCGAGTCTTTGCGAAAAGGGCCTCCAACACGTCCAGCTGTGAACGCGTGAAGGTGGTGCGTTCCCGTCGCTGCTTCCGCGGGGTGGCTGTGGGGACATACAAGGGCACCTGGAGTCAGCAGTGGACCTCGAGGACTGGAGCTAGAGGCCACACGCAGGTCTTCTGGTAGGTCCAGAACCCTGCCATGGAAAGGAAAGGCCGACCTCCGCGCAAAAGCAAACTTCCCTGCCCACAGGTGGGGCAAAGTGTATAAATTGGGCTAGAGGCTCCTGTCTGAAAGAAACATCAGGGCCTCAGCCCTCCTTGTCTCTCAGATAAAAAACAAAGCCATCCCCTCCTCATCTCCCTAAGCCCACTTCTGGCTGAAAGGTAGGAAGTAGAACAGAGGTAGGTAGAAACAGGACCTGGGAAAGCTTTCCAAGTGAATAAATTCAAGCAAAGAAGTAGGATCCAGAAAATAAATTCGGGGTTCAGTTGGAGTCGTCTGCCACCACGGAAGAGCTGGGTCAGGTCCCTGGTCTCTAGGGCACTCTGACTAGGGAGAAAGAGCTCTGCTTCTCAAGGCAGCTAGACATAAGGGAAGTTTGGCTGTTTACATTAGGGCCTATCGAGTCCAGATTCCTCGTGAAATGTTTGGGCGGGCAAGATTTTATTTTTTTAAAAAAGCAACCGGTGGGAAATACGTCGGTGGACAAACATGCTTTCTCTAGCATGTGAGACCACAACAGGAGCAGGCACCACAAGCTCAAAAGTTGTAGGTCACAGTTTCTAAACTCAAACCGGAGAGCCTGTAGCAGATCTGGGCAACAGACACAGAGATAATCATATCCCTGGGCCTGTTTGGGGACTGTGTGGGCTCAAACGTTAAAAGCTGGAATCCCCCAATATTTGCACAGGCTTGGGGGTAGGGACATAGGGCCACCGCTCACCAGGATAGCCCACAGAGGGGTGTAGGAGGTCCATGGCAGGGCCAGCTAGGCCCAGCCCGTTCATGCCGTATGGGGGTTGTTTGAGGTAAGACATCATGCTAACTGCCGGGTGGAGGCGCCCCGACGGATCCAGGGGGCCTGGGGCCAGGAGCAGTTCAGGGCTCCCACTTCGAAGTCCTTCAAGCTGTTGCTTCTGGGGGCCTGGCCTAAGGAGACAGGAGACACATGGAAACCGTCACCCGCAGTCACTTTGGCTTTCAGTTCCTATAATCCTAGAATGGGGAGGGGGGCAGGCTAGGAACTTAACAGGGCAGGCAACCCAAGAAATTTCTCCTCCAAGCTCAGCAAGCCGGCTTCTTAGAAAAGTAAACTTTCCCCACATCGTTCCTTCCTCTTTTAGGGCTTGACAAGGGCCAAAGACACTCCTTGAGTGTCAACAGGAAAGAAAACTTAAAAGCGCGATCAGGCCGAGGAGGTGAGAGCCGGGACCGGGGAGGGTGCAAAATCCCAAGTGTAGTCTTTTTTTTTTAGTGCGGCGGAAGCAATTTGCTCAAGCAAATGTTCACTTGGCGCCGGGATGGCAGGCCGTACAGAGCGTACGTACCGGGTTATTTTGTTTAAGTTTCAAATGTTTTTGAAAGAGGGACAAAACCGCTGGCACTACAGAGGTCCAAGGTTAGTACCCCTTGGATCGCCCAGGCAACTGCCCATTTTGGTCACATCATTCCTTCAGAGATCTCCAGAGCAGCCCCCTCCCCCAGAGTCCCAATCACCATTCTATCTGACCTCTCTGGGCCCCTGACGCTAGGAGATGGGTGAACCGGAATTTCAACGCACTTCTAGGGTAGATGTGGCCCAGGCCCGGGTGAGGCGGCGAGAAGATGCCAAAGGCGCCACAGTAGAAGTGGCAGTTTCAAGAAGCCGCCCAAGGTCAGGGGTGCCTCAAAGACGGTCACCCGTCCTCCTAAGCCCACGCAGGCCCGACCTTCTTTCTACCAAGTCCGAGAGAGCACACCGAGTCCCACCAGGGTCTGATAAAGGATGACCAGCCCAGCGGCTCAAAGCATGCTGGGGAGTTCAGAAGCCAGAGCACCCTGGATCGCGTGGGCTCCTCGCCGTCCTCTCCTGAACTCGGTGGAGAGCAGAGAACTAGGCCTCAAGTCGGAAAGCTCCCGCACACCCAAGCTGGGAGCGCTAGGCTCGGCCGAAGACACTGCGAGCCCCTGGCGCTCTTCTCCAGCGGAAGAAGGGGTTCTGGGGGGGTAGGGCTGGGACCCGAGAGGGGGGCTTCTAGCTACACCCGGCTTTACAGGGAGCCCAGGGTGGGAACTCAGGGAAAAAGGAGGCAGGACTTAAGTAGCTTTCCCATCCCAACTCCAACCCCTGCTTCGGTCCTTGGGGTCCCGCGGCCTGGACTAAGGGAGACCAGCAGGCGCGGAAGGCGGACGGAACCACAAGGGAAACAGCGCACTTGGGCCGGAGAACCACAGGCCACCAGCCGCCGCGGTTCTGCGAAGGTGCTGCGTGAGTTTTCGAATACTTAGATCTAACTTAGCACCCCAGCTCCGCAGCTTCGGAGGAGGCGGGGGAGGGGTGCCCGGCTCAGCAGAGGCCTAGGGTTCTCAGCACAGCCAAGGGGGTGCCCGGCCATTCACCCCAGCCCCGCCCACCTGCCGGGGATCTGGGGGAGCGGGGGTCGATTCGAGGAAGAGGAGGCGAAGGGAGCCCCCCCCGTCCCCGGGCAGGGCGGCGCGCGGCCCCTCGGCTCCCTCCTTACCTGCCCTCCGCTGCCGGGGCTGTTCACCATCTACCTCGTGCCCTCAGCAAGACCCTCCGGGCAGCCAACCTGCAAAACAGAGCTGCACAGGTATTACCCCGGCGGCGGGTCTAGGACCCCCGCATTCCTTCTTTCCCCAACTTCCCTATTCCCGTCTCCTGCTTTTTCCAGGAGCTCTGTGCGTGTTTCCCCAGGTTTCACATTATTGCACAAATACTTTGTTTGCAAAGTCCCACATGCTTTTCCTCCCAAGACCTGGCCTCAACCGG